GCAGCGGCCCAAGTGTCATGTTCTCGTTGGAAAATCCTCCGTCATCCTCAGCTACGGCGTTCTTGTCCGTGCCATCTGCGGGTTTTGCTCCTGCCGCGGGGTCAACTGGCGGAACAGGCGGTACAGGAGGACCGCCAGCTGTCGGATTTGGCGCCTGCTGAATTGCGGATTAACTCAGGTGTCAGCGGTAGAAATAAAACCAACTAAAAAAGGCCGGGTCTTGAGGTGCCCATTGGAAGTTATTATTATTATTCTGGTCAAGTGAAATGCACGCTTAGAGTGACTCTGCAGAGAAATCATAACGGTAATAGGTGGCCCATTTCATAAAGCGCTATCCGAAAGCATGGCATGAGCTTTCAACGTGAAATGAATGTTTCTGTGGGGTTTTAATATGAATTATCGAGCTGTCAAGAGATTTAAGTCACGGCGGTGTGCTGGTTCTCGAATGCTCTTCTTCCCGGCCGCCTGTAGAAACAACGCCGGATAAAAATGAGTACTTAAGTAGTATGAGCTTTTCGCAGTGATCGTCGATGCTCTTGTAAATTACGTTTCCTCTAAATCGAATAGCCAAACAGTATCTTTCGAAGCAAAACACGGGAGTGCGAACCCTTTATAGTACAGGCGGCTTTCCGTTCACTTCCCGCAAGAGTGCCTATTCCTGTGCCTTAACCGTACTCACCTTAATCGTAGTTCTGACCTCAACTCTAAAGCCTGATCTCCCTGGAATTTAGTACAGGGCCACCAGGTTACGGGTATTTCCTACCTGCGTGTCTTACCTCGGTCAGTTTTACCAAAGTTTGTAATGAGGGGATTGCCTATGACCTGAAAGGTTTCATTCATGCGGAATCTTAGCTGTCCGTTTAATGCTATCGTTTATGGGGTATGCAAGATGGTTCAAATTCATTGTAAAATGTTATAAGTTCTATATGACGTCTTCTAAACAGCTTAGAGGGAGGCATGATTCCCCCTATATGGAAAGAATACAGTTTTTTGTATGGAAACCCTAAAAGCAAATGCATCGGCATGTAGGGATCAACATCAGTTTAGATTTGCCAGGACCTTTTAGGACGGGAAACTACGTTGTTCCAGCATACAATTTAGAAATACACATTTTTCAAACAAATAAGGAAATTTTAAATGGTGTTCTACAAACTTTATAGGAACCTTCAAGGATATTGAAAATAAAGAGAGAAAGGCATGCTTTTTTTTTACTGAATACGAGGTAAGGATGATTTGTATGGCCATCCAAACAGGATACAGGAACAGGATCCCTCCGCAATACATGCGGCTTCGCGCTAAATTTTGGGAAAATTAGGCTTAGGATTATGGTGCGGAGAAGAATTAAGTTGAGGGGTGGGTTTAATGTTAGAATTGGAGTTAAGACCGGGATTATGTTAAGAGTTAAGGTTTGGGTTCGCGTTAACTGTAGGGTCTAGGGTAAGGCCAGCGTCGAATCCGGCTTGCTTGGGTCTCACCTTATAGTCACACACAGACTCGAATTGCCTATTCTGTTCAGTTCAGTTTTATTATGGGAGATAAGCAAACGTCCCATTGGTAACACGGGGGTTAAGAAACAAAAAAAAAACAACAGAAAAAGTCAAAACGGAGGTCATTTGCATAATTGCAGACGAAAAGCGAGCAGTAGTCGGTTAGTCGAAAATAGTAAACTAACACAACTCGTTTATTACGAGTAATAAAATCACATTTGTAATGATTACTTTGGAGATAGTACAGTGGAACCTCGGGGGACGAGCAGCCCCATCAGCGAGCATTTCAGGTAACGTGTGAGCCACCCTCAGAAAATTTACTTCGATTGACGAGCTTTCACTCGGTTGACGAGTTGTCAGTGCGTGCCTGTGTCCGCAGTTGAGTCTTGGGTATGGATTCTCGGTCACCTGCAGCCAATCAGTGGACTAATGCAATTTGATTGGCTACGAGTTCATTCGTTTCGCAAGGCGAGCGTATTACATGACGAGCTCGGTGTTGGAACGAATTGAACACTTTAACCGAGGTTCTGCTCTGCCTCGACTTATTACTTATGCCAAATAACACAAACCAATTTTGTTTGTGTTAGGGTTAAGACACGGGACTATTTACTCTCCCTGAAATGTGTCACGAGGCCACGTGAATTAAGTGGGTGGGGCCGTTCATATGTCATGTTTAGGCGGCCATACATCCTTACTGAATGAACTTTTTGCAGGCGACCGGAAAGAAGCATATTTCCAAGCGGTTATACTGGCGTGATTGACTCCGAAATTTATCTTTTTCTTCATATGAACAGAGGAGAAAAAGAGAGGATGGGGGCATGGCTGTCAACAAGGGCACAGAGGCTTACCTCTGGTTTGGCCGCAGCAGGCCCTCCGGCAGCACCTTTACCAGCTTCCGCCCCCTGTACATCCTTCTGGTCAGCATCAACTTCTGCCTTCTTCGCCGCATCCTCGTCCTCTGGCTCCTCGTGCCTCACCACTTTCATAGGCAATGGACGCAGTTCCCAATCCTCAGTGGTAGAAGAGAGCAGTGCATGAGAGAAATAAAAGCAAGAGCTCATTCAAACAAACAAACACACATGCGACAGTTTGACCGTCGATTTCAATTATGTCCACCATATGTTCCACACTAAGATGGTACAGGGACGGGGACTTGTGCGGGAATAATTTTTAGGTGATAGTAGACTTGCGCAGCATCAACCACATTCGTTCCTCCCCAATCCTCTTGTGCCCGGTGTCAAGACGGAGTAAAAAGAATCGGAGGTGGGATCGGGCGCAGGTGGCTGGCGCAGCCAAAG